TCCATCCGGACCGACTGCCAGCCCATCTGCCTTCCTCCCTGGCCAGTGCGGCCCCACGTCACTCACTCAATGGCGGCGACGGCTCCTTCCTGGCCCAAATGAAGTGCACCCAGCGTACAAGATGACCCCCCACTTGGGGGCATGTTTTTTTTGGGCCAAAAAAGTCATCTTGTACACCGGCAAATATGGTATATAGTCTATACATATCAGTATTTACATAAAACACATACAGTGTTCTTTTATTTGCAGTAGCAGCATCTTGTACACCGGCAAATACGGTATATAGTCTATACATATCAGTATTTATATAAAACACAGTGTTCTTTTATTTGCAGTAGCAACTTGCCATATGTTAGGTCCCCACAGTGTATTCCATGTATTTGATCTATACAGGACCCTGACCCACCTCTTTTAAGTTTTCCTAAGCCAGCTGTGTTAGGCTTAATGAAAACAAAACAAAACATAAAACCGCTTCTAAATTAGGTGTTTTTATTGTTTTTATTTTCCACTCTCCCAAGCCCATCACATTTAGGACTGCTTTTAGTGATATCACACAACTTGATGGAAGCTACGTTTTTATCTTTCTGAAAGTGTCAAATCCAGTATTTTCATTTTACCCATATTTTTCCGTGTATAAGACACCTGCCCTTCTAACTCAAAATTTATTTCTTTGCAAGAAAGTGGAAGGGGAAAGCTGTTTTTTTCAACAAAAATGCAGGGGAAAAGCAAGAATCACTTTCCCCCTCCATTTTCTTTGCAAAATGAGGAGGGGGAAAGCAGGGATTCAAAGCGCTTTGATCCCTCCCCCCCTTAGTTCTGTGTATAAAACAACCCTCAATTTTTCATTTAATTATTTTAGGAAAAAGTGTTGGTGCTTCTGTCATTCGGAAAAAATATGGTGCTTCTGTAAGCCGTTGTATAGTAGTTGCACAAGCTCCTACATAACTCATTACACCATCATTAGGATAGCCATTGTTTGTACTACTCCTGTCTGACACACATGAAGGCTCACATAACAACTTATGCTTTATCTGCCAACACAGAATCATAGAATCATGAAGTTGGAAGGGGCCGTTGGGTCCAATCCCCTGCTCAATGCAGGAATACAAATCAAAGAATATCTGCCAGGTGGTTGTCTAAATTTCTCTTGAATGCCTCCAATGTTGGAGCACTCACTACCTCTTGAGGTAATTGATTCCATTGCATCATCATCATCTTAAAATTGCTGAGCTGTAAGGGACCCTGTGGATCATTGAGCCCAGCCCCTTGTCAAGGAGGCACAGTGGGGAATTGTACTCCCCAACCTGTGGTTCTGCACCCAGAGACCTTAAACCACTGAGCTATGTGGAATACAGCCATATTAATACAATCCCTATGTAGCATAAAAATCATCTTCTATATCCTGAACAGTAATCAAATTTAGAAAGCAGTTCTAAAACACTGTAGTTTGGCAGAGAGAGCCAGTGTAGTGTGCTGGTTAAAGCATTGGATTGTAACTTTTGAGGTCCTGGCTCAAATCTCTAGAACCTCCTGTTAGATTCCTCATATGTTATCCTGATGCCTGGATAAACTGTGGGTTATGGAGCTGGCTTGAATGGAAATACTAAACCTAACAAAACAAGGCAACACTGTGGATCACTGATGGTTCCCAGTACTTCAGAAGGGTCCTGCACACCTCCTGACAATCCCGTCCCCTCTGAGGACAATCTTATTGTGAAATGCCATTTGTTGTACATCTGATATTGTTGCTAATTGCCAAGAACAGCAAAAACATCCACAAATATCTTCATTTTATTTCATTGATTCATAACTTAAACTCTGGGAAAAAAGCTACTATATCAGGACAGAAAATGAAGAAGCAGATAGGTTTCTAATTGGCACTGGCGTTAAAGAAAGATGTATTTTGTCTCCTTATCTGTTCAGTCTATGCACAAAACATGCCATGCAGAAAGCTGGATTAAATTCGGACAAATGAAGAGTGAATATTGGTGGAAGAAACATCAATAATTTAAGACAACCATATGACACCGTTTTACTGACAGAAAGCAGCAATGATAAGAAACAATTGCTAAAGAAGATTACAGAATAAAGTGCCAAAGTAGGGTTACAGCAGAACATTTCGGTGTATTTCAAGTGATATAATGGCTGAAATCCTGTTGCACAATTACACAAATGTCATAATTTGTAGGTGTGAGTTGCCATAAATTAGGAAATCTCCACAGACATTATCCGCCAAATCACACAATATGCAACAGATAGTGGGCAAAATCCTTTGATGTCACTTTCAGCACAAAAGGGACTGGGGCTCCAGCAATGTTTAATTCACACTAATTATGTAAAAGCTTCCTATCCACTCATTTTAGGTTCTTAGGCACCCCAGGCTCCCTTTTGCCCAGGGAAAGCCTTTGGGAGCCTTGGGGCAATCCAGTGGCAATTTTTCATTTTCAAAGGCTCCTCTTCTTCATCCCGAAACTTTTGTGCTTCCAAAATTAATGTCATTTGCATAACTGAGCAACAGGATCTCAGCCAATCTATCAATATAGTTATTTTCCCTGTTTTCAATATAGTTACACGTATATTGTAGAAAACGTTACGTTATTCTTGAATAAATTCAAAACCTAGCATTCTCAAATAGATCGTGTTCATTAAAGCCAAGCACACAGCTAGCCTTACACTAAAAGGATTCTCTTAATCTAAGAAGTGGATTAAGATAGCTTTAAGCGTATTTTGAAACCCCAGTATGACACCAGAATGAACAGCCAAAGGCTAACATTAAAAATCGATAAAGCAAGGAATTGTTAATTAAAATAACAACTGTAAACAAAGAACTTTTACTTCATATTCTAAGAACAGCAACAAAACAACCACGGTTCTTCCCACCCTATTCTATTTTACTCTGTGAAGTATAAAAATAAACTTACCATTTGTATGAGGTACTGTTAATACAACCATATATCCAACTATTTGTGTCCTGTTATATAAAGAAAAAACAACAATCCATACAAATATACTTTACACGTTCATTTCTGTTAGCACTTTTAAAAAGATCAAATAACACATATACAGTACAGTATTTGGTTATCCAACTATTTGTGTCCTGTTATATAAAGAAAAAACAACAATCCATACAAATATACTTTACACATTCATTTCATATATTTGGTGTTCTTGATCCATTTAATTTACCGTATTTTTTTCTGTGTATACGAGCCCACAATGTATAAAACGACCCCCTAATTTTGACCCGTTGATGGAAGTGGAGGAGCAGCTAATGGGCAACTGCTCCTCCACCTGAATCTCTTCTTCCATCTCCTGTTGCTGCCTCCGCTGCCCGCCTGATTACCTCCTCCAGTGCAACTGCCAGGGCTCACCTTCAGCTCACTTCGCTGCCTTGTCCCCTGCCCTAAGGAGACGATGGCTGGAGGAGGCGATCCGGTGGCGGCAGCAGGAAGAGGCACCCGAGCACGCACAAGTGCTTGTTTGCCTCTGCCTCCTGCTGCCTCCTCCACCGCAGGGGACAAGTCGGCGACGTGAGCTGAGCCCTGTCAGTCCCACTGGAGGTGGTGATCGGGCGAGTGGGGAAGGCAGCAGCAAGAGGCGCCTAAGAGCGTGTGAATGCTCCTTTGCCTCCGCCTCCGCCTCCTGCTGCTGCCTCGGCCACCAGAGGGGACAAGCCGGGAGCTCTGGAAGAGGCAACTTGGCAGTGGCGGCGGCGACAGCAGCAGCAAGAGGCGCACGACTGTGCTTGCGACTGCCGCCTTCCATGTATAAAACGACACTCAATTTTTCCTCTAATTATTTTAGGGGGAAAATGTCATTTTATACACGGACTGCTCTCCCAAAGGCAGTGGGGGCAATTATATTTGCATGCTACTCTGTTTGTTGTTAAATCACAAACTCCTTAACGTCTGAGGCTGGTTCTAGGCTTTACCCCCTACAAATGGAAGGAATCTGTAGGGGGTAAACCTTTTATATATGGTGCGAAGTAAGATATACTCCATTTTTCCTAGTGGAAAAAAGATTATGGGGTGATCATTTTTGCCAGTGCCTCTTTCCCTTAGTACTACTTCCTCAGTTGTTCCTGATGAACAGATCTGGAGTAGCTTTTGGTGGAAAGAACGGGCAAAAATTGCTTTGTGCCACATTCTTCTAGCACCTGCAGAGGCCCACTGAGCTCAAGTCTGGAACCAACCTCAAATACTTTACAACAGTCAATATACATGACAGTCCTGTGTCCAACATTCCAGTTTCACACAGATGTGTTCCAACACACTACTACAAAACACACATTTTCCCAAATAAGTTACAAAAGATGAATAATTTACGAACATAGCAGCTGCATCACAGTGGAACATGTCAAAATTTGGTAGGCTCATGAACGCTGAAAAATATTAAGTCCCCATGGTAATTTTAATTTGTACACTGAGCCAATAACAGCTTTGAAAAAATTTACCAGACAACAGGATAAGATAATAAACCTATCATACAGGAGACATCTATCAAGGCCTGAAAGCCACAACAGATAAAATGCAGTCTCCATTATTTAACATACTCTTAGCTGCTAGTTCCTGCAGGTAAATAAAGCAATGATGGCTACCTTTATCTGTATCATCTTTGTATGCTTCTATAAGTATCTGGCTGGCCAGTTTTGGTCCAATTTCACAACTAGATGGAACTTTGGGAAGACCACTTTTTAATTTTTAAGCTTGAGGTGTATAAAGAATAAGTTAATATCTCACTAGTCAACAGAACAGAAATGGCTACATATCACTACACTGGACCGACAATGATATTTTGCTGCAACAGAATACTGCTCACTAGCCAAATTGATTTCTAAATACAGGGGCTTTCTCCCTCCCTCCCTTATGTGGTGCCCAAAACATAAGCCCATTTACAGGACAGAAGAATTGTATGTGAGATCACCAATGGAAAGATTCTACAAGCCCCCAGATTTCAAACATGCTGCGGATATGATGGGCCTCTCTTTTGCTTCAGATTACAGTGGTGCCCCGCTTGACGACGACCCCGTTAGACAACAAAATTGCTTTACGATTACTTTTTTGCGATCGCTATAGCGATTGCAAAACGATGTTTCTATGGGTTTTTTCGCTTTACCTTGTTTCAGTCCCTGCTTCGGGAACCAGTTTTTCGCTGGACGACGATTAAAAACAGCTGATCGGCGGTTCGCAAAATGGCTCCTTGCTGTTTTCCAGACCTATTTTCGCAACACAGGGATCGTAAAATGGCCGCCCTATGGAGGATCTTCACTGGACGATCAGGTATTTCCCTGATTGGAATGCATTAACCGGTTTTCAATGCATTCCAATGGTTTTTTCGCTTGACGACGATTTCGCTTAACAGCGATTTTCCTGGAATGGATTATCGTCGTCAAGAGGGGCACCACTGTATATAACACAGGCGCTGCCGAAATGTAATAATGCTAGTTTCAATGAATGTATCATATTGAGTCAGAAATGAACCATATGCCTGTGTGCTCCCTTACTTTTAACTCCATTTTAGTTTTCTATTTCAATCTGATTTCCTGGCTTCTTAATGTACTGTTTTCTATGATGCTTGAAACAAGAACATATGGTTTATACACCAGGGCATCAAGAAAGTACTGAACCATAATTTTTGTTGTACACCACAAGAAACTCATGAAGTCACAAATATTTGGTGTTTGAGAAGGGAGAAAAATGAAGGCCACCAGGGCACAGATGGTGCTTGGCTTATTTTCAGCTCCAACACCCACTGTTTAATGCTCAGTGGGACAGAAATTGATAATCTCTGACATATAATGTTAATCCTCTGGGAATGGAAAAGATACAAATTGCTGAAACCAAATGGTGGAAGAGTTTGAACAATTATATTTGCTCAGAAAAATGCAAGTCAAGCAGGCAATACACATTTTTAATGAAATAATTTTCTCACCAACATGCTGTTTTGACAGTAGACGTGACTAGATGATTTTCTGTAGCTTGAGAGGGCAAAAGTAAAATATTTTCCAGCTGATTCCTGTTCAGGAAGAAACACAAATAAACTTACTAAAAACTACAGTTTTGCATTATTATTATTATTTTTTTTTAAAGAGAGAGATAGAGAAAATACTACTTACATTATATCCTGTATAGGACCATTTTGATGATTTTACCTGGATCCAGGTTAATGAACCTGAAAATAACCAAGATAATTTCTCATTCAGTATAAAAATTCTCCCTTCTCACAGCACAGTTATTTGTTCTCACCATAACTCCTTGTTTTATGATTTAAAACTGTGTATCTGTTAGTAAACAGAAAAAAAAATGTATGTATGCAGTCATGCAAACACGTTATTTTATCTGTACAGGACACACATCCTTTCTTAGAAACATTACATGTTTCCTTTTTCAAGTACTCATATAGTAAGCAGACTTTTAAACATCTTTGCTTGCTAATTCACAAGATCTGAAAGCCTGGTTTAAATAATAGTAATAATAATAGTGTGCCATTAGAGTCCAATTCATGGCAACACTGTATAAGGGCCTTCTTCATATAAAGCACCAGAAGCAGTTTAGCCATTTCTCCTTCTGATAGCGCTCTGGAACCATACAACTTGCCCATGCAATTGGGAAATGCAAGATTTGGAGAATTATCGTGGTCCCACTGGTAAGAAAGCCACATGAATCTGGGGGTTACCCCCGGTGGAACTGTGTAAGTTTATCTGCATAGAGCAAGGAGCATAGCAAAAAGAAAAACAAACAAGCAAACAAACACATCCGCACAAAGCAAGAGCAAGCCCCTCAAAACGATGCTTTTTGCCAAGGGCCCATCTTCGAACAAGTACAGTGGTACCCCGCATGACGACGATAATTCATTCCGTGAAAATCGCTGTTTAGCAAAATCATCATCGTGCGAAAACCGTTTCCCCATTGGAATGCATTGAAACCCGTTTAATGCGTTCCAATGGGGAAAAATCGTCGCTGTTTTGCGAAGATCGCCCATAGGGCAGCTATTTTGCGAAGCTGCCGATCAGCTGCAAAAATCGTCGTCTTGCGAAAACACGGTCCGCGAAGCATGGATCAAATCATTGTCAAGCGAAAATTGCCCACTGGAATCACTGTTTTGTGAATCACTATAGCGATCGCAAAACCTCATCGTCATGCAGATTCATCATTTTATGAGGTCGTCATCTAGCGAGGTACCACTGTAAGGAATAAGCATCAAAGACATACAGGGGTTCAGCTCCCTGGTTGTAAAGTGGCAACGCAGCTTTTAATAAAACGAGAGGACAGACTCACTTAGGACTAGTTCAGTTTTATTCTTTTTTTAAAAAAACTACAATTAAATGGGGAACATATGGCCCTTCAGATATTGTTGGACTACACTTCTCATTGGCCTCTACACACACACACACAAAACAAAACCATAGTGAAGAATGATGACAGATGCAGCAGCATCTTGGAAGGGCACGTTTGCCATTCCTGGTGTGTGCATATGCAGAGACTTAAAAGGTGTTTCAGGGTGTACAGTAGGACTGCGGTCTCCATGGGGGATCAGTTCCAAGCACTCCTGGCATATGCAAAAATACAGTATGAGGAAGTAACAAATGCCATACATTGTATGCTTTTGGCTCCCTCTAGTGGCCCGTTCTGGTAAATACACCCTGGGGTCTTCATTATTTAGAATTTTCAGGAAGTGGATAAGTGAATCAGCGGATATTGATCCCGCAGACAGGGGGATCTATCTGCGGATAGATAGGTGTTGCTATTTTGTAAATACAAAATATTTACAAAATAGCAAAATATTTACAAAATAGCAAGGGCCTTTACTGCATACGACTCTAATTAATAGCACCATCTTGATATTGCAAAGTGTACAGAGACCAGTTCATAGCAGAGTGAAGATTTGAAATGGCAACTTTCTGTTTGCAGATCAGTCTCTAAACCACTGGGCTAAATGTGATTTATCTTTGTGCACATGGAGCTGGGCCCATACAGAAGAATCTAAGTGATACGATAAGCACTAAGTGAGTTGGGCTGTACTAGTTTCCCCTGAGCTTCAACTGACAGAAGGCAATCAAGGTCATCTGCCCCAACAAGGGTGGAGAGCCTGGATTTATCCAGGCAATTCCTTAATCATAATTCAACATTAATCACCAATACCCTTGATCACCGAGAAATAATAACACATTTTTTAAAAACATGCAAACCTATTAATTCAATAATTGATGCAGGCTTTTCTTCAAATAATTTTGCTGGATGTCTCAGAAAGTGATGATTCAAGACCAACGTTCTTTTCTGTGGATCTTCTGATATCTACAAATTAACATGTAATTTAAGATGGATTTTGATTATGCTTTGATGACAGTGGCTACCAGATCAATAGCATTTAATAAAAGTTAAACTTTAACAAAATATACAGTAAATTAGAGTTATCAAGTAGAACAGAGATATGCTCACTATTTACAGCAGTCCAACATTTTTCAAATTACTATTGTATTTTTCCAGGGAACAAATTTAAAGCAAAAAAAGTGCAAACCTGTTTAGTCTTTTCATCAATAAGGTCAAAGAAGGCTCTGACAGTAGCCAAAATCAATTCTTTACACCTTTAAGAGGAAAATCAAGGTTACATATAAAAAATCTAGATAAAATGAAATCAAACGACAAAAGGAAAGTAACACTATGACAGCAGGCCACTTCTAGGATTTAATGTGCTTATAGCTGCTCACCAAACTATTGAGAGATGATCTGTTGATGCCCAGACTCGAGGAACTGCTGAACTCTGTTTAAAGAATAATTTATATGAGGATGGCTTTAAATACTTGAAGTTATCATAAATTTATATTCTTGATGAAGAAAGTATAGGACTGAAATTCAATAGCTACTTAATTCCAATGTCTCAGTTTCAAAGGACAAGTTTGGACATGCAGCGCAAAATTCCGCTGCATAAATTTACACCAGCATAACCAGGATCAGGTACCAGAAATATTTCATTTCTATTAATTAAATTAATTAGTTTTCATTAATTTTAAACTAATTAAATATTTAAATATAGCTTTAATTAGTTTTAACCTCCTTATTCAGGTTACGAGGCTGCCTAGGGCTGCCTTTTACTTTGGGATAGCCTTTGGAAGCCCAGCTCCCGCCAACCTAGCGGTTCGAAAGCATGTAAAAATGCGAGTAGATAAATAGGGACCACCTCGGTGGGAAGGTAACAGCGTTCCGTGTCTAAGTCGCACTGGCCATGTGACCACAGAAGATTGTCTTCGGACAAAACACTGGCTCTATGGCTTGGAAATGGGGATGAGCACCGCCCCCTAGAGTCGAACACGACTGGACAAAAATTGTCAAGGGGAACCTTTACCTTTGGGCTGCCTTTTACTTCGGGATAGCCTTTGGGAGCCTCAGGACGAGAGGGAGCCTTTAAAAGTCTACAATTGTTGATGGGATAAGGATGGCTAGCAACGATTCACCTGTGATTTGTTTTTAACTATCAAAGGGTTCCTCCTGTCACATCCCAACCAGCAACAAGATCTGATTAACAACTGTTATATTCTTCTAATTTTTTTTTAAAAGGTGGACTAAAGTTGCTTCTGGGGTCCATTGGGGGGGAGGGAAGGGGGGTTTCCATTAGTTTAAATTAAATATTACCAGCACCTGATCTGGGTTATGTTGGAGTAAATTTATGCCAACAGGATTTTGCCCACTGTGTAGAACTTTCTACTTTTTTTTTAAAATATGTAGCCTAATGGGCTGTAACACAACCCACTTTGGAAAGATATGCTCAGTTTCAAAAATTCTGTCATATAGCATAGCAAATTGCTGTCTGAAAACATCAGCTGAAATGTGCCCTTCTCCATGAGAAATTAGTAAAATTATTATTTGAAGAGCTCAGCCATAGAGACCAGCATTTTTGACACAAGCACCTGAGTCTCTGAATACAGTGGTGACCCGCATAGCGATGATAATCCGTTCTGGAAAAATCGTCGCTATACGGATTCGTCGCTATACGGGGCAAAAAAGCCCATAGAAACGCATTAAAACGTAATTAATGCGTTCCTATGAACTTGAAACTCACCGTTCAGCAAAGATCCTCCATAGTGCGGCCATTTTTGCTGTTCGGTAAGGGAGGAATCTGTCCCAGAAACAGCGGGCGGCTATTTTGAAACCGCCAGTCAGCTGTTATAAAAGCATTGCTATGATCAGAACCGATCATAGCAAAGCCAAGTTCCACTGCCAGCCAGCCCTGGAGGATGCCCCGCCTCCTTGCCGGGGCTGTCCCGGGGCACAAACAGGGGGGCCGGAGGGTCTTTCTCCGGTGAGCAGCGGGCTGGAGGGATGCAGCCGCCGGGGGTTGGGGAAGGGGGAGTGGGAAGGGACGCGCTGGCCACCCATCACTCGCCAGCCAGTCAGCTAGCCCGGGAGACACCCGGCTAAAGCCAGCGAGCGAGGGGT